AAGTTATTTCTTTAAAACACATGAACCCCTAAATATCTTCATTTATTATTAGCATTATTACACATTGTATCCTCTCTTCTTTTTTTTTTTTACGTACTCTTATCCATTGTTTATAGACATGGTACTTTCGTATAAGTATATAAATGTCCAACCGTAATTAATTGCAAATTCTACTTCTATCACACATTCTGTTATCGTGTGGCCGTATGCCGTATGCCGTATGGGGTGTCTAGTCCAAGTAAATCTGTACCTGTCACCATCCAATACATATATATATATATATATGCCGTATGCCGGATGGGGTGTCTAGTCCAAGTACCTGTCACAATCCAATACATATATGTGCCGTATGCCGTATGCCGTATGGGGTGTCTAGTCCAAGTAAATCTGTACCTGTCACAATCTAATATATATATATATATTTATCTTGTTACGGAAAGTAATTATTTTTTATTTTATTTTATTTATATATCATACGATTCGAATTTAAAATTTTTTATTTTTAACAAAAAAAAATCATTGTTTAGGTCGTTGGCCAATCCAATACATATTTAAATATGATTCATCCTTATCTAATGTATAATATGTATATGATAATTCAAGAATTATAATATGTGTAGACGGTTTATTGATTTAGGGACGGTCAATGTGGCTTGAAAGCTTCACCCACCACTAAGGAGGCGTTTGGTAATGGGTCTCGATGGTGCTATACAACTTCAGAACAGAGTTAACCTGCATTAATTGCACTTGACGGGTTGCGATTTGCGGGCGCAGGTAGTTAATTGAGTGCGCATTGTTCATTAAATAAATAAGACAAAATATTTACACTTGATTAAGTTTTGCATTGTTCTACAATTACATTCTTGTTTTCCTTTTTTAACTGCATGTATTTTTCATTTTGATCATTTTTCATTAATTTGTAGGGGGTATTTTCTGTGAAATTTTTTCCCTTTTTTTAAACAAAAAATAGAAATTATCAAATAATAATAATATAATTGTAGGTTATTAAACACAAAAAGAGACACCATTTATCCCCTGAATGGTGTGGTCCAAAAGCAGAGGCATTCCATTGATGGAATGCAAATGTGCAATTATGGGCCATCATCACCTCCAGAAGCATGTAAAGGGAATAGCTTTTATCTATACATATAAATAAACAAGCATAGAAAAAAGCAAATTTAGAAAATAATAAATCAAAAATGAAAGAAATTAACTTTTTTTTTTTTCTCTTGAGATCTTAAGCAAATGAACGAGGACAGGGTTCTAAAGAAAGATTTTATTAATCTATGCGTTAAGAATATTTTTTTTATAAAAATATATAAAAATTTTAAAATTGATATTAATTTTAATATTACATTAAATAGATGAATTTAATTAAAAAATTAAAAAATTAAAATTTAACTTTTATTTTT